AGAGTTCCAAAGAACCTAGACAACAGTTAAAAGGAGAGCAAGAAATCTTAACTGTGCTGACACTGTGTTGCAAACCATTTACTAGATGATGGAAAGGCAGAGGCGCTGGGGGCGGGGGCAGGTAGTTAATGGGAATAAAAAACTACAACACAGATTTACAATCTACCACTTTCTAAGTCCCTGGGACAAACTGAACCACTATCAAAATTTTTCAAACAGCAAAACGCTGTTCACCTAAGACCACCTCTTTCTCAAATGCACGTGCCTAGCCTAATCCCACTGCCAAAGGGGCAGGTAGCTCTGGAGCTGCCCCACTCCCTAGCCCCACTAACTGTTCTGATGGCCCCTGCCTCAGGTTTGTCTGTGGAGCTCCAGACAAGTAAAGTCAAGTGTTCGTCAATTAAGTTCCGCATGCATGTTCAAAGCAACAAAAGGTAATTCACCCAAGAAATAACATGGATACGACACAGAGGTAAACTAACTGCCTGGGTTCTGGCAATTTCAGGGTAAACCATATGCATGGAACCCATCTTAGACTTTTCTTCAGAGTCACTGGAAAAGTCACTTTAGTACAGAAAGAAAGAGTTCTTGCGATTTTCTCCTGATTGCAAGAGCCTCAGATAGTCTGCAGGTGCATTGAGCTCTTTTCCATCTTTTGTACAACAGACAGAGACTTAAAGGGGTGGGAGCAGTAAACAACCTGGGAGCAATCTGGCATCAATGACTAATAGAGCCACCTTCCAGAGACAAGGCAGTTGAGTCCTGGGATGTTCATCTTATGTCAGCTTTACATGAGTGAAAAAAAATCTTTTTTTTCCTCCACAAACAGTGCAAAACTCTCAGACTGTTGTTAGCTGGGTCTGCTGGCCTGGTTGCTGCTGCTCCTCCACAGCAGTGAAACACACTTACCTCCCATTGGGTGGAGGCTGCTCAGGGTGTTGAGGTTCCCAGAGGAGGCAGTCTGCTGAAGGAGCTGCAAATAAAGCTAGACATTACACCAAAAAACAGAACAAGAGTGAGAGTGAGGGCTGGTTCTGCATCTGGGATAACTCTACAGCACAGCAAAGCGAGAGTGCAGAGGCCCCCAGAGAGAAGAACGTTGAAGACAAGAACCCAAGCCAATGCAATAGAAACATAAGGCTTACGACAGGACAATATGACACAGTAAAAGGCCTGGCCCAGAAGACAAAGTTATGTTCACTGAGTACTGAGCCAAGCTCAAGTCCCTGGGCAACGGAATGCAGCTCAGGAGAGGTCAGAAGTAGAGCAAGGAACTAAACTCTACTCAAGCAGCTATGTAGTCGACTGTGATGAGTGTCTGCATATGGATCACTGCCATTTCTATTTCCTCTCTTTCAAGTTCTCCTTAGTTAGGTCCAAACAACTTATTTTGCAGATTGCTTCCATCTGGATACCCAATTTCTACTTCACACAGCTACTTTAAACATAAAATCTGACCATTTCAGGGTATTTCTTGGAGTCATCCTTTACCAGCCACAACAGACCCATGACTAGATCAATCTCTCCCATGCTACACATCCACTGAGCCCGATTTATGTTCTCTTCTCTAAATTGGTCTTCACTGTCGCAGATAACCAAATGACTGATGGATCAGTCCAAATCAGTTCAGTGTACATTCTCTTTCAATAGTTGGCCCGTAACATATCTGAAACAAGAAGAGCTGTTGTCCATGAGCTTTTGGATGGATCTCCTTTACCTTATTCTGTGTCTTAGTAAACCACAACCACCGCCTAAACAACCTGCTGAAAACCTTTGCTCAATTCAAATGCAATCACTGTTCCTTATGGACAACTAGTATTCTTGTTTCTAGATCCTTTATTTAACCTGTTGTCCATTCCCCAAACATCTGACCTAGTTTCTCCATGATCACAAATCTCGTTAGTCCACAGGTTTTAGGAGGTCCACAAATCTCCAGAAACAGAATGAAAAAAATGTGCGCACACACAATTTTTACCAGGTTCTCAAAAGGGTCCACAAATATTAAGAACCACTGCTCTAGTCCAACAGAGATCAGGTTCAATCCACATGTTCCAGAAAGAACCTAAGTAATGATGATGTGCTATCACACAGACCATCGGCACCCACATGGCTTCACTTTTTTTCTTCCTAAATATCTTGGGAGCTAAGTTCAGTCCTGATGGACTGAACTGGTGAATTGTGCACACTATACTTAGCATCTTCATTTCCTCTCTAAATGAGAACAACTCTTAGGGAGGGGATCACATCTAACCTAAAGAGACCATAGCTCTCACCACCATATGCCATGTGCTTGCCAAATGTGGCAATGACAATAAAAGGCGAGTGCTCCCTGAAAAGAGGCTGTAAAACTCTCTAAAGTAAATGCATATCATGAAAATCATTTTCAAAGCGTTATTATTTGGCAAAAGACTAAAATCTCTTTGAATTTTCTGAACTTTTAAGCAATGCTCTAACACTAAGAAACAATTTAATTTGCTGAAATAAAACAACCATCTACACTTTTTGACTTCAGAGAAACACTAGCTAGGAGAAACTGGGATTTCTTCTAACATTTTACAACTATGGAGACCAGGGAGTGTCAAATTAGTCAAAACTCAGTACTAGGGGACAGAAATCACTGTCCTTCTTCTGTTTCTATATAGAATAATCTTTGGAAGGATAAGACTGAATAATTATAATTACTCCTGTGTGTATTTTTGGACTATCTACATAAATCTAGTGGTTTCACCATTTATTTTCCTTCACTGGTAGCTTCACGGATGACCTGTTCTGATTCGCAAATGAGTTTTAATTGCTGTCCTTTCTGCAATTCTTTTAAACATTTAAGCGGTGATAATCCTCTATGACATCTTGTAGACTTGGTAAATCTAAATAACGCACTGGAACCTGCCCCTCCCCTCTTTGGGGCTGATATGTTAATTTCAATGTTAATTTAAGATGTCTGGACTTCTCTCTCAAACTCAGAGAGAGAGAGACCAAACTAAAAGAAATCTATTTACGATATAATGAACTCAAACACCTGTAATACTGATTTAATGTCCGTGCTTGATAGCTCAGCAAAAATAACATTTATCATACTCTTTAAGGAGACTAAAAAAGGTTTTTAACGATGCCCTCTACATCTGGTTAAAAGAGATAAGGAGAAAGGTATTTGGTAGTTAAGATTCCCTCAGGAATTTTTTTCCTTGGGAGTAGGAACACATATTTCTAAACCTTTTTATCAGGAAATTAGGATTTCACTTTCATTATAGCAGAAGCCTGAAGATATAACCAAAGATGTGTGACCAGAGAGATAGAGAGAGTAACATGACATAAGAATATTGCACTGCCTGAATTTTTACATGAAATTTCAATGTGCTAAAAGTTGTAAATGTCATTGTGTCTGTTAGCTGGGGACAGCAGAAGAAACAGCTGGGAGCTTGCACAATCTGCAGAAAGCAAACCACAAAGACTCACTGCTAAATACTGGGGTCCAAGAGTATTTAGACCAGCAAGGTTTCCCCACACAGATGCTGCGCTGATCTGCTGCATCTGCTGCTGGAGCTGCTGGGCCATTCTCTTCTGTTCTTTGTCCTTCTGCGTATCAGCAAATTTTACCACCATGGGGGATGAACAACCCTATGAACACACCAAAAACAAAGAGTCAAATTCCTTCTTCTGGGTGAAGGAAAAAACCTCCTTTCTAGTGACACACAGGCTGCATTCACAGTTCATTCACTGTTAAATGATTCTCTTCTTGATACATATTAAGTGACAAAAGACGATTTAAAACGGCAACTAATTCCGATATGTTAATTTCAATGTTAATTTAAGATGTCTGGACTTCTTTTAGGACAACCAGATGCTGTACATGCTTCTGGGCTATAAAAGTCAAATGTCCTAGCACTCTCGGACTAAGGAACTTCCCCTTCTCATTCATCTGCTCCCTACCTCCATAGTCTGTGCTTGGTGCATTGCCTTGATGGCCGTCTGTGCCATGGCTCTTGTTGTAAAAGTCACAAATGCACAACCTGGTAAGAGAAGGGTCAAAAACTCATTCATTCATTTGCTTATTTATTTAGAGACAGTTCCTGAGCACCTATCATGTGCCAAGTACCATGCTAGCAATAAAGACAAGGTTCCTGCCTTTGAAGGTTTATGAACTAGTGGAAAAGACAGATATGTTACATTAGGGTGATAAGTGCTATAATGAAAAACCAGACAGAAAACAAAATGATTGATGAAAGGAGGATTCATGGCCTCTAGTTCCTCTTGAGAAAGAAGTGTTTCCATTTGGCATCAAGGACTTCTCCAAAAGGGGTGTGTGTGTGGGGGGTGGTGGGGGTCAACATCTCCAAGCCCAAAAGAGAGACTTTTAGGTCTATGGCCATGCCACCCTGAACACCTGAACACGCCCAGTCCCCTCTGATCTCAGAAGCTAAGCAGGGTTGGGCCTGGTTAGTACTTGGATGGGAGACCACCTAGGAAGACCAGGTGCTGTAGGTGTAAACAAAAAAAAAAAAAAAAGAAAGAGAATTTTAATATATGATACAGAAGTGCAGAATATAGACTTTTTAAGGAGGCTGAGAGAATACAAAAGGGATCAGTTGGTGGGAAGAGTTGTTAAGGGTACCTAGCTATATAATACCAAGCCCAAACTCTACACCATGACATAGCCATGTTTGCTACGGTCACTGGTTTCCACTGGTCTAAATTTCAGAAGAGTATCTTTGAAGGCTAAAAATGTACCCACCTCGGCTCAGTCCATCAGGCCCCCGCAATATCCGGCATTCTTCAATCTGTCCAAATGAAGAGAACATGACTCGGATGTCATTTTCAGTGCACTTCTTTGAAATCATACCAATAAACAGCTTCCTGTCTTCCACTGCTAAGAGAGTAAAACACAAAAAGCTTGAACATTATTACTACTACAAGAGGTAGTGTAGCACAGTTTGAACCCAGGTTCTGTGCCTTTATACCACATTTCATGTATTCTAAGATACACACTTTTGTTCATAATTTAGCGCCTCCTCTTATAAACAATAGTATCTTAAAATTATAACTGAAAGCATTTAGATGAAATATAGTAGCTTTGTGACTTTGTGAAAGTTACCAAACTGTGCCTGTTTCTTCGTCAGATTAATAGGGATAACAGGATTTATCTCACAGGTAGCTCTAAGTATTAAATGCACAGTGCTTAGATTCCTGCCTAGCACTTAGTAAATGTTTGCTCTTACTAGCAATACTTTACTAAAGAACGAATGTTCACAATCAATATGACAAGAGAAACAGAACACACCTTTCAGAGAGTCTAACTGTCCACTTTCCTTTTCTGACTATATCCTCTTGAGGACTAAGTTCTCCTTCCTAACTTGTTCGTTTCTTCCCTTCACTTCTGTCCATAAGAAATTATACTGATCAAAGACATTCCAGTTGACTCTAAAATGTTCTTTTAAGTTTCCCTATCAACTACTTATTTCAGTAATTACCATACTTAAAGAAAAAAAAAATACACAATTTAGATGACAGATCAGAGTACTGAACATCACTATCTATACCATACACAAAAATAAACTAAAATGGATTAGACTTGAATGGTAGGACCTGAAACCATAAAACTCCTAGAAGCAAACCATAGGAGGTAAAGCTCCTTGATGTCGGTTTTGGGGATGACTTTTTGGTTCTGACTCCAAAAGCAAAAGCAACAAAAGCAAAAATAAACAAGTGAGACTATATCAAACTAAAAAGTTGTGCACAGCAAAGGAAATCAACAAAATGAAAAGGCAACTTGCTAAATGGGAGAAAATATCTGCAAATCATATATCTGATAAGGGTTAATATCCAAAATGAAGAACCATATAACTCGAGCAAAACAAAACAAAACAAAAACAAAAAAACACATCTTATTAAAAAATAGGCAGAAGATCTGAAGACATTTTCCCAAAAGATATACAGATGGACTACAGGTCATAAAAAAATGCTCTACATCACTCATCATCAGGGAAATGCAAATCAAAACCACAATAAGATATTATCACCTCACACCTGTTAGAATGCCCATTATCAAAAAGATAACAATAATATTGGCGAGAAAGTGGAGAAAAGAGAACCGTTGTGTTCTGTTGGTGGGAATGTAAATTAGTGCAACCATTACAGAAAACAGTATGGAGTTCCTCAAAAAATTAAAACTGGAACTACCATATGATCCAGCAATTCCACTTTGAGTAATTTACCTGAAGAAAATAACAACACTAGCTTTTATGCACCCCTATGTTCATTGGAGCATTATTTGCAATAGCTAAGATATGGAAACAACCTAAGTGACCACACATGAATTAATAAAGAAAATGTGGTGTGTCTACAATGGAATATTATTCAGCCATAAAAAAGAATGTGACCTTTCCATTAGCAACGACATGATATTATGCTAAACAAGTCAGGCAGAGAAAGACAAATATAGTATTCTCTCTTATATATGGAACCTTAAAACAAAAACTCGAGCTCGTCCAAAGAACAGAGTGATAGTTGCCAGAAATAGTGGGTGGGAGGTGGACAAAAAGAATGAAGGGGCTCAAAAGATACAAACTTCCAGTTATAAAATAAGTCATGGGGATAAGATATGGCATGGTGACAACAGTTAATAATACTGTATTGCACATTTGAAAGTTGCTAAGAAAGCAGATCTTAAAAATTCTCATCACAAAAAAAATCTGTAACCATGTATGGTGACATGTTAACTGGACTTATTGTGATCATTTCATAAGATACACGAATATCAAAACATTATGTTGTACACCTGGAACTTAGATGTTGTCAATTGTACCTTAAAAAGGAATTGCTTAGAACATAATGCAAACGAGATGCCATGAGAATAGCAAACAAGAAAGAAACCTGATCGGGGTAAGCTTATGTGCTTGCTTACCATTATTCTTCTCACTGTCGGCAGGTTTCATCTGTATAGGATGATGCATCTAAAAAGGAAAACACATGAGTATTACCACTGTATGCCTTGAAGGCATTCAGAAATACAAATGAGACTCCAAGGAATACCATAACTAAAGCCTTAACCATTCTCTTGAACTCACGTCTGCCTCATGATCTTTCCCCCCCAAAATATCAGAATAGACGGAATGCTGAATTAAGAAGTCAAAATTCTCTTGGCTGAGAGAGAACAATTTTGAGCCTATCTTCTTTGACATGTTCCTTTTACATCAATTCCTGTGGCAGTCACCCTTTTCCCAAAATGGTTTTCAGTGTGCCTGATATGCATAAGCATGTTTCACGTGTCAAAACTACCACAGTTCTACTAACTAGTAGGAGCTTTCTTACCCCTGGGAGGACTTTCATGTTGTGAAGAGCATTCTGTGCTTCCAATGCAGCTTTGCGGGTGTAAAATGTAACAAAACAGCACCCTGCAATAAATGAGATTTCATAAAATCAAGCCAGTCCTTTGAAAGCAGACAATTCCTAGAGTACTCTGTCCTCTCTAGACATACTAGAACTTAGAAAAAAAGGGCAGGGTTTATTAAAATTAGCCAGAGACAGACAGAGAGACAAAACTTAGCAGAGGAAAAAAAACACATTATTTTCTATGCATTTTCTTTATTGTTATAGTCTCTTAGTTCTATTAAAATTCTTCTTTAGCTGTTCCTACAACTCTCTGGGAAAGATGACTTCCCTTAACAAAGGTCATGGTACCATGCCATTCAACTCACCCTACTTGGAACACCAGGTAGTGTGCTGGGCAAGACGACTTAGCTACAAAGAAGACGGGGGCCTTGCACTCTTGCGGCTTGTAGTCTACTAGAAACTCTTTCTCAGAATACATCACTCCTTATACTGCAGACAACATTTATCAAATACCTCAAACGTAATTATTATTTATTAAATTATAAAATGACTTAAGAATCTTGGATCTATTTTTTGTACTCTTGGTTCTCATCAAATATAAGTAGGCTTCTCACAGCACACAGCACTGACCAAGTCTGCAGATTCTGCACTTTCTACCTTTACTGGGGATAGGAGGGAGGAAGTATATCTTGTAAATCTTGGGTCTGTAGTCCCATGAGATACAATATAGATTTTTTGCAAAATCACTCTGCAGTTAAGATTTTAAATCTGCATGTTATACTGCTATTTTCAGAAACTACAGTGTTTTTATATTTCTGGTTAGCTATGTCAAAAAGAGGAAATAATTCTTGTTTCTAGATCTTGTTTTTAAGCTGGTTTCGAACATGACACTCATACTTGCTCACATTTGCACTGTAGAATAGCTTTCATAGAAAATTACTCTGAATCAGTCACCTGAAAAAATAAGAGTATTTGTGTGTATGTAAGGTGCTAATGCCTTATCTACCATCGGTCCTGTGAAACTTCTCCTCTGCTGGGTATTTCTGGAAGTAGCCCAGCTTTTCTTCTCCTGTTCATTTTATAGGCTATAGCAAACACATTACTTACAAAACAAGTCCCTCCTAGTTGCTAAGCTACCTTGCAAGGCCTCTACATACACCAACAAAAACCCACAGGTATATGGACAGTCTTTTCTTTCAGGTTACTCTAGCCAAAACACTGAAGAAAACCTTATGTGGTTAGTTTACTTAAACTTTATTTTTGTCAATCCCAAGATTGAATGAGACAATCACATGAGTCTGTCTCTTGAATTTAGAGCTCTCGCAAAGGACTCCCCAAGATTCAATTTACAAATCATCCTCATGCGTCACCTTAACCTTTAATTTTTAAGCCATAAATTGTGTTTGGGTTGGAATATATAGTGACTATAAAAAGACAAATTTTTTCCCCTATCTGACCATAGGAACACTCTGGGAATGTGAGACGGCATGCACACGACAGAAATTACATATAAAAACCCAAGCCCTCACCTTTGCTCTGAGGAGGGTTCTGGCTCCTATCCCTTAGGACGTTGATTTCATAGACAGCACCATACTGTTCAAAGAGTTCCCTCAAGTCCTTCTCAGACCAGGTCCTTGGAACCTGGCCCACAAACATCTTGATAGCATCAAGATCCGGTTGGTCTGGGTGGTCCAGGGTGCCGTTCATTTTCTTTGAGCTGCATTAGATAAAATAAAACAATTATGTATTCATGTTGCTTTCCAGAGGGAGTTTTCTTTGCTTTAAAGATCTCAACTACTTCCTATAAAAGCAGAAAAAACTTCTACTTCCTTTCACTATTTCCATTCAATTTATCAGGATTACCAGAGTTCCCTGGTCCTCCCCCTTATCATGGCCACTCCCTTCCATTAGTATTAGATTCCAAACTAAAGTCACCATTCTGATTAGGACCATCCTGGATTTTAATTAAGAAATGGAATGTCACTCATTATTTATCTAGCATGAGAATTCTCAGAACTTAAGAAGTTCTTAAAGCAAATTTTAATAATTTTTAAACAGTTAATTTTTTTAAATGTCCGTAAAAATCACCAAGTACTATTGGTTATGAATAAGATACAGGACTCTCAATGTATACAATGAAAAGTAAAGTTTTCTTTAAACATTTGAACAGAAGCAGTTGATTTCCAAGGCCTGAGCTAAGGACTAACTAGAATGCTGGCCTTTGAATGTGGCTGTGTCACATGTTAATCTTGGTGCTCTTGAGTTAGGCCCCCAGATCAAAACAAAGCTCTGCCTCTTAAACTCTGACAAACGACTGTTATATAAACATAAACAATGATGCCATCATTCTAGGTTTTTACTGTTTAAGTTATCCAATTTACTGCTATTTTCCCGAGACTCTACCAGTTAATTTCCTTACCAACTGTAACTCTTACAACATGGACAAATTCCAATCCTATCACAGCAAACTTGTAATGCTCCTACTTTAATACCTTCATTGCTACCCCTGCAACTGCCAAGAATTATAGTACAAGGATTCTTGTACTATAAATATTTCCACCACTCAAAAAAAGACCTTCTCTTATCACTATTTCAAGATCTTATCTAACCTAAGAACAACTTAAATTCCAAAGAGCCAACACAGCTAACTTTTCTATTAGTGTTTGCTACTTAATCCAGAATCACATCTTCAGTCAAATTTGCCACGTTTTAACAGTCAATCCTAAATAAACTGCTAGTTTTCATTAAAGGAAAAACAAGTTTTTCCACCATTTTTTGAATAGTATTTAAAGATTCTTGAGAATGTTGAATCTATGAAAACAACTCAACCTCTGTCTTTTAATTCCTAAATCTTTCGTAACTAAACACCCACAGGTGCTATTCTCATATCACCTTTGCTGAACCTAGTACTAACTAAATATCAAAAGCTGTTAAGACAAGTGGTATATAGACCAACTCTTGTTGCTATGTCTGCAAAGGTTCCTCATACTCTAGTCTAGCGCTCCTGGAAGGCAGAAACTTTATTTCCTATTTATTCTTGTAGCCACACCTGGTATGGTGTCTGGTTTATAGTAAGTACTCAATGTGGGAAGGGAGAAATTTCGTGTTCTCAACAATTCCCCTTATTTAAGCAACTAATCCTGATAAAAATGAATGTTGTACATAAAGGCTCACAGATTAAAGAGCAGCTATTATTTCCTATGATTACTTGATCGTTACAAGATCTACTTTTTTTTTCAACTTTTAAGTGTTCTAGGATGCACTATTTTATTGGTTTTCTTTTAATCTATTAATTTAAAAGCAAATGTGGCAAGTTGTTGCAAAAATATAAATGCTTTTAGAAGCCTAATCCTAATGTTCTAACAGAAATCATGCTACCATGATAAAAAAAAAAGCACTAAGACTAGTGAAACATGAGCATCACTCCCTACACCCACCCCTAACACCTTCAATTACCAATTTTAATAATTTATTAAAATGTTGCTAATCTTTAATCATATTTCTAATCTAGGGAAGGTTAACACAGAACCCTAATAGTGCTCAGAATATGTTTTGATGATAAGGAAACCGACAGTTGTTTCTGAAAAGAGGCAGGGGTTTATTAATTTGTATCACACTGTCCCTTCCTTCTGTATTTGCATGCTGTTTCTAAACTTTCTACATCACTGTTTAGCGCAAAAGCATAAACACAGTCAATACACATAGACTACAGTTTATCCAAAGGTTCAGTTGAGACTCAGCATTCCAGACAAATGCTGTTCCTTTCTCTCTCTACTCTCTAAATTCTTCTCCATTTCTTTATTCCACCCACTCCAGGAACAAAACCCCCACCCCAATATCAATTCACCAGAAGAATCCCCAAGAGCAGTGCTACTCCAAGTGCCCCAGGACCAGGGGCAATCTTCAAACATAACTGTTTAGAACCTTTTACAGAGACTGGACCAAGTAATTTTATAAATGTTCAATCGAACAATAATAATGACACACAAAATGCAAACTTACATCTTATTGTTTTTCTACTCAATTGTTTTTACTGTATTTTACAAGTCAGGGTGGGAGACAAGATGTGGTCCTTTCACCAGTTTGAGAAATACTTCTGGAGCACAGCAAATTATCAGGCCAGACTCAAGATGCTGTGGACATTATGCAGCTGGAATTATATATTGGCTTATTCCTTCCTCCAATACTGGGCACGCACTTACACAGGTCAGGCACTGTTAGATGTGGTATACAGAGGTGAATAATGAAAACATATCTTTGAAGCACATGAAGACAGAGTTAGAAATAAAAGTGGCAACATCAGCTAGAGATGAAAAAAGAAAAGAGAGAAGCAACCACTTGTATACCTATGTATGTGCAGTAAGCAGTCACAAACTTTCTCATCAACAGGTACTGTGTCTAAGAGAGGAGCAACAGAGCTCTTCCTCAGCCTTCCACACATACCTACAGCATGCATGTTGTCCTCAGTTAAAAGTAACCACTGCATAAAAAGTCTCCTGGGGACAAGACTCCCAGTGTGATATGCCAAGGATCCCATAGCGTCCAGGTATGGCATTTACTCTACATATCACTAAATCCACTCTCAAATTTGTGCCTTACCTCCTTACTGATGAAGCACTCCTCAGGGTCAGTGATCATGAATTCTGTGTGTTTAGTATGCCTGCTCAAGAGCCAAGGAATTCAGCAGCCCCCCGGAGAAATGTCTACAGTGTCCCTGTCATTCTTAAGAGGTAAGTCTATGGAATTCTTATCTCCTGTGGAAGCATTGCCAGTATTTCTGTGGAAATACTGAATTGGGAATGAGATGGAAGAGAGGAAAAAGCAGGGTCTGCAGCAGCGAGGGAAGAAGGGAGATGAGAAGGCAGCAAGCGTTTCAGGGGAGAGGCATGGCACCAACCACCTCTTTTTATGTTGTTTCTGACTCATTAAGAATGAGAAACTATGAGAAACCAGGACCAGAGGCTGCCCTGTCTACCTGATTCTCAATGAAACATGCCATAGGAAAATAGAGCAGAGAACCAACTTGGAAGAGAAACAGAAGGGAAAACAAAGAACTTTATTTTGAAAGCACATCAGCTCAAAATTCCTAAAACTTTTCTCTCTTATCTTTCTCCCTCTAACTTCCCAGCCCCAGGCCCAGCTCAGGTGGGCAGAGCTGATGTTCTCTTCTACTTCTTTCCCATCCCCAGGCTCTACTTGACTAGACCAGGGAGTGGATCTTAACCCAACAAGCTGGATCCACTGGCTGGCCAGAAACAACACCATGACCTATGCTTAAAACAGAAAGATAGGCCTGGCTAATCAAGTTACTCTGCAGATGCACTGAACAAGACAATAGCCACTAGCCAGATGTGGCTATTTAATCTTAAAAAATCCAGTTCCTCAGTCACATTAGCCTCATGTGACTAGCAGCTACTGCAAAAAAAAAAAAATGGCAGAGATATAGAATATTTTTATCACCACAGAAAGTTCTATTGCACAGCACTGCTCTAAGGAATCTGGAAATGGTTAACAGAAATAGGCAGTGGTAAAGTCAGAAGCGGAAAAGATGCAACTAGAGTAGTGTGTTAAGTTGACAAGATGAAAAGGCAGTGGCAAGAGATAACAAGGGTCAGGCTGTAATACAGATGAAGTTTGAAAACATTATGCTAAGTGAAAGAAGCCAATCACAAAAGGCAACACATTGTACGATTCCACTTATAGGAAATATCCAGAATAAGCAAATCCACAGAGACAGAAAGTAGGGTGGTGATTTTCTGGGGTGGGGTAGGGGGGGAAAGGCAATGATTGTTAAGGGGTACAGCGTTTCTTTTTAGGGTGATGAAAATATTCTGGAATTAGTGGTGATAATTCAACATTGTGGGTACAGTAAAAATCACTGAATTGTGCAGTTTATAAGGGTAAATTTTACATTATGTGAATTCTATCTTAATGAGAGAGAGACAAAGGGAAAAAGGAAGGATAGTGGCAAGGCAAAGAAAGCCATGCTGCAACCAAAGTTATAACACAGATGAAGTAGCAGCACATGCAGAGAGAGCAGAACATGTGTTCAGAGTCAGAAAAACAGTTTGCAGGTTTTCCACCTGTGGAGTTCCTGATTACATTATAGCCCAGTCCACATGAGCCCTTACAAGAAAGCCCTGCAAAATGTGCTAGCTTGAGTGGGTATCTGTTCCTTGCAGCCACATCTGTTTAAAAATCATTTCCAAAACCTTTCATTACTCACTTTTTTTTTTTAACTTTCTTGTTACCTGTTGACCTTCATTTTTCAACAAAAAGAAAAATTTCAGATACTTACCAATCCCTCCACCTCCCCAGCAGGCATAAATACTTGTTCATCCCAATTTCCAGTCACCACCCACTCCTAACCAGGTCCCTCTGTCTTACATACTGTGCTGTGAAAAAACTGACACAGAAGAACATCAGAATAAAAAGGACCCAGAAACACTGGCCTGAGTTACTTACCAGCTGTTCTTTAGTGAGAACAAGACAGAATGTGTCTATGCTGGAAGGAAGTAATATTCATTTGGATAAAGGGAGATCTTCCTATGTTAGTTGGGGTGTTAGGTGCTAGAAAGAGCTATCAATAAAGGTTTTTAAGGCTATTCAACAACAGAACAGCTAACAATCTGCTTGTGAAGGTTTTCATATTTCTTTCCTGAGGTATCGAGACAATGTCTAGAGCCCTTATCTCTGTAATCATATCTGCTTATTAAAACAAACAAACAAAAAACAACCTCACAAGGCTTATCATTCATTCACCTGTATTTTCGAAGTTCCTACTATGTGTCAGATACTGTGCACTATATGGGTCTATTAAAGTAGACTGAACAACTCCTGCCCTGGAGGCAATGGCACTGAACAGGTGGAAGGACAATAACACCCTACGAATGAAAAAAAGTTCTGTGAAAAAAGTCACTAATATGGTTTTATTTTATTTGGAAGAGGGGGGTATGTGTGCAGTGATTTAGGCTGAATGGACTAAAGCAGCTGGAGAAAGTGCAGTAGAGCAAGTATAAAAGCCTAAGAGGTGTGGAGAAAATGGTAAGGTCTCATAAGAGAGAGAAGAGTGAAATAACATTAGAAAGATAGAAAAAGCACTTAAGTTAGGAATATTTTTTAATATATTAGAAAACAGAAGAGAACAGATACATCAGAGAGACCCAGTGAGTGGTTTTCCATATTACACTGGAAAGGCCTAGACTTTATTCAAAATTTTTAAACAAGTGATCACATTTGTCTTTTACAAGACACCTGGCAATAACCTAGAGGATAAAATAAAGTGAGGAAATGTGGAGATCAAGAAGCTCTTGAAAGACCTAGCTCCTGAGGTTAGGAACCAGTCTCAGGCAATGCTGAAAAATTTGGGGGGCAGGATCCGCTAGAACTTGGAGATCACTGGATAAAGGAGATGAGAAAAAGGAAAAAATTGCTGATCACTCTTGAATTCTACTACAGACAATATTGGGGATCGTTTATGCATGGGGAAGCTTCCAGATGGAGGTATTCAATTCTTAAAGTCACAGAGCTCAGGGGACTTTTAGGGGAAAGATATAGAGATATGAGAATCAGAAAAGCACATCAATTCCCCCTTAAGCAATGAGAGAACCAAGAGCAAAGGCCTGAGATAGAAGCCCTGGCCAACATTCATGTCTTAAAGAGTGTAATGTAAGCAAAGTGAAAAAAGGATCCAGGGGAAGCTGAAGAGTGGTCAGAGTAGAATCAAGGACACTGTTACAAGTGAGAACAGGAACTAGGGCTCAGGTGTCCAGGGCCCTTCCACAGCTCCTCCATCAATTCTTCTCTGTTGTGAAAAAAATTTTAAGTAAGATACACTGCTAGATCCCATTCCCAGGCAATATCACTTCAGAGAGAAAATCTCTGATGTCAAGCCTTCTGCTAAAGTAGTATGAGTGAAAAGGGCTCAGAATCCAAGGGAGAGTTGGCAAGCACACACCATTCTCAAGAACTTTCTTCTTCCTAACTCTGCGGGGTGTTTTAGTGTATGGTGCCCACTCAGGACTGAGGACTCGCAATAATGAGAAGAGCTGATGGCTAACTGCTCAAGGACACTAAGGCCTGGTCTAGCAGGCAAAAATAGTATATCATTAAACTTGCATTTTTAAGCACAAGATTGGCACCGACCCTCCTCAGGCAAGTTATAGCCTCTCTCAACTGGGTTTCTCATCTGTAAAATAGGAGCAATAGCCTATGCCCAATTAATCTCACAAAGCTTTTGTGAAGATAGATGACTAAAACAGATGTGAATGTACTTGGAAAAAAATGATAAAAGAGCCCTGATTACCTCTACTCAGGATAACCTGTATTCAGCCCATTAGTTCTTAAACTTCACTGTGCATGAAAACCACAGGAGATACTGTTAAAATACAGATTCTTGGGTTCCATTACAGCATAAGAATATCTGAGAATGGGTACAGGAATCTGCATTTTTATGTTCCAGGTAATGTTTATGCAAGTGTTTCATGGTCCAGACTTCATGGGATACAGAATCAGTCCAACCTCTTAAAAGATGAGAAAACAAGACTGAGGAAAAATGTTCTATCTAAGAGTTGAATACTAGGCAGTGGCAAAGCCTAGAGAGAGTATTATAGTGAAAGATAATTTGAGCCACAAAGTCCAATTTCTAGGGATCATATCTGATACATGGAAATATTTTTATTATGTAGTTAAGTCTTTATGATGGCATTCATTGTGACTTTACCTGTTATCTACTGATTAAATAGAATTTTAGCAGTAAAGAACTCTCATAAAAAGACATCTAAGTTGCTATTATTTTGGAGATTACAGAGATGGCTAGGATCTACTTCAAATGAGCAAGCCAGATAACTCTGAGGACTACTCCATGAAGAACTATTCAGAATCTGCTATTATTCACACCTGTTACACCCAACCCCAGGGTAACCTGACTTGCACATGGAGGCCTAAACTCAAAGACCTGCAACTACCACCTGTTATCTAGGGAGTATTCTACCATTTAATACTCTTGGCTTTGAATAACCAAAGACTCATTTACTTGAAGTTCCAAAACATTCTGAAGCTTGGTTAAAGTAACTGAAATCAGAAGTTAGGAATGTGGTCTCTACAAAACCCAGAACTCAGGTTCCCTGTAGCTACAACTCAGGGCCAGGTTAGTATTTTTGCTCTGTACAATGGCAGTGTCTCTTCTTGAACACTAGTGCAAACTGAGGCGGCTTCTCATTCCCACATTCGAAATTTATTTGGGCAAATTGCCAATCAAATTTAATATATTTCTTTGGAGGGGGAGCATCTGACACCTCCTAAATCATGTATTGTGTTTCATTTTCAATTAGGTTGGGAAAAATAAAAACCAGAATTACACTTCACATGTCAATATAGCATCTTGTATACACTACTAAATATATCCTCTGTAATATGAGTCTTAGAATTTGATCATTAAAAATAAGTAACTTCCCAAAAGATTATTTGAAATTATATATCCAACCCAAAGAAATAAAGCTACGGTTAAGCCAGCACACTTGAGTTGATGTCTCTGGTCATGTATCAAATACATCCTTATGTACAGAAGTTAGTTATAGCCTAGAGGAAATCAGCAACAATGAGACGGATCAGACTACAATAGAAAATAACCATAGCGTAGACTGTGCTTCCTCATCCAATTTTTTCTTCTCTGTTTAAAGGAAAGGGACCAGTTTCATTAAACAACAAAGAAGACAACCCAGTTCCTCTGCTTATGATAAAAAATTAGACAACAAAAATACTTACACGGGACTGGAATTCAAAGAGCAATGATCCACCATCATTTCTGGAAGGAAATCCAACTTAAACGCAGCCATCACCTCACTCTCCCCTTCAGAAGCCAATGATATTAACTTGCTGCACTTGTCTGATCCACAAATACACACAGCTTTAGCTTCCTGGGCCCCACAAAAAACACAAAGTGGAAACAGGAGCTCAGGGAAACCAGCATTAAGTGCCACAGAAACAGGCAGGACTGGGGAAGGGAAAGGGAGTACTGGATTAAAAGGGGGATGTGACCATGTGAAGGGAGGCTCAGCCCAGCACACAATGAAAGTGCTGATGCTCCAGGCTTGTTTTGTGTGATTTTCCCTGGCGAAGCAGTACTAAGTGCACTGTCAGATAAATAGAGTGTCAGATCCATGAAGATAGCAGTGGCTAACAGAGCAGAAGAAACATAAACTTGTTTCATGTCTTCTAAACTCTTCTCTGCAAATCAGTTTTTGAGGACCCCCAAAAAGCCCAAAACTGCCTGAAGCAAAAAAAAAAAAAAAAAAGGCAAGCTCACCTCATGTTGTCTGCAAATGTTTTTGAGAACTGGTTTGTTAGCCTTGGTCCTATCCAAACTTAGTTTCCATGTGCCAAAGACAGCAATGAACACAGTCCTTGGGTCCAAACTAAGCTCAGAATACTCAAATAAAGAGGAAGAGTTCAGATCTTCAGAAGCAGGCCAGAGGCAAGCGGGCCGAAGAAGGGGTCACCAGAAACTTCTTGCTCACATACTAATACCTGCACTGGACCATGTTGAGAGCAAAGTGTGCTTCATCAGAGTGAAGGACTTTCAATATTGCTGTTTAGGTGACATTCATTAGGTGACACAAGGCAGAACTTCTTTACTAACTCTGAATCTTAATTTGCCAGAAAACTTAAAAAGTAAAAATAAAAAGGGAACTGTAGTATTCTGTCTCTTGATAGAGTACTAGGAAATAGTGTCTTTTCAGTTGTTTGACCTAATGATGAAAAAGAACTGAGGTCTGCTAGGGATAAACACTCAAACATGAAAGGAAGGACAGAGAAATGCAGACTACGCCTCTTCTCTGTCCTCCTTTAAACTTCTGCTAAAACCAAGATTAATGAATGCACACATAAAAATTCTATTGTGGGTGAGCAGCAGAGATGGATATACTTAGCAGTCAAGGCAGATGTGGTGCTCCCGTTCTCAATTTAGCTCCACATCCCTTCAAACAACAAATGGTGGCATTTCAATATTTAGGCAGTGACTCTAAAACTGTATCTCTGAAGGCTCCCAAATTTCACAGGCCTTCTTTCCATTTTTATCATTAGGGTTGCCTTACCTCAAAGATTTCACTTCACTCAACCTCAGTTCACAACGCAGTGAACTTTGAAAAACGAAGTTATGTTCAGCCTGTATGGAGGTAAATGGATGAACTCCTAAACTTGGAGAGTTGTTTAAAATAAATAAATAAATAAATGAATGAAAGGTAGCATGTCATGGTATAGGCCTAAATGATCTAGTCTGTGTTAAGAGCAGCTGACACCTGACTGCATTTGACTGAGGAAGGTAGAAACTGTCTCTTCAGTCCAATATCCAGACATAAGCACCCAAAATTTAGAAAAGCAGCTAACTGCTTTTTTATTTTGTCAGAGACTCTGGCTCATCTGATCTACTGCTTTAGAGACAGAAGTAGGAGGAGCTCTCTTCCATCCTATTAAAGGAGGAAGCAAAAACAAGTTACAAGTGAGAAGAGACTATGCAACTGGCACACAATATACAGTTCACCAAGCCCTGATTCCCAGACAGGCAGATGATGGTAACCCAAGCTGGGACTGGTTAAGTTACTGGTTAAGTTTGTCCTTGTTTCTCCTATGTATACTGGAGCTTTTAGTTCCAGGACTCCTTTAAAAAGGAATCAACAAATTTTAAGGAATCCCACTGGTTATTGTTATACTTTTACTATTCACTAAAAATACACAACTTTTAATTACATTTCTATTTCAAACTGGAAAGAGAGTACTTAAATGTGGGATACACTTTAGTGAGTAGCCAGGCTTGCTTGGTGTATGAAAGGGTGTGCACTCCTCACAGTAATTTTTACCAAGTCAAATGTTGGGAAGCATTGATTTAGAGTAATATTTTAAAATCCATTTTATGATTTATAAAGCAATACTGTTTTAGAAACCTACAAAATGAAAATGTTATTACATGAAGGAGGTCATAAGAGTTATCTCAGTATAATCAAATTCAACATGCTTGTGACGGGGGAGCACAGATATTAATCACGAGCCACTCAATTTTAGAAAAGGGTTACAAAGTTAAATGATGATAAAAACGATTATGGGAATATAAAAATGTAGGTGTTAAAAGAGAAAATTAAAAACTAGAATTAAAAGTTATTTACAGAAAATTGCCCAGAAGTTTTTTTTAATTTAACCGGAAATACATTTCAGGCTATTGCCACAAAGAATGCATTAAAAATAAAGAGATGGCAGGAAAGGTTATAAATCTGCAAAAGGCCTTAAACTTTCCCTCAGTTCCTTTTTACCATGGGTCCTCTCATTATGAATTTACATTCATGGGTTCTTCTTCTCAGCTAGTTATCTGTTTCTTTTGCCTTGAATAGTCTCTACTTCTTTTCTAAGGGCAAACTGTTCAAAACCTGATTATGAGAGGGTAAGGGCAATCAGCTTGCTATAATCATTAAGAACTCAGATCATTAAAAATGATCAGTAGGGAAACCCTCAAAAGAATAGCACACCCTGCATTTAGAATACTAGATGGAATGAACAGTTTAAAAACTGGATTAAAAGAGAGAAATGCTAGAAATCACAGCAGTTTTGCTGAAAGAGTAAGAGCAAAGAAAAGCACAGTCGAGCAAAACAACAACAACAACAAAAACCCAGGTGGCATGTGCAAATGTCAGGCTGTCTATCTTAATGTAACCAGGGAGTTCAATGACAGGTGAAGGGATTTTATGCTTCCACCTCGATATTCTAAATGTGTTTTAAAGGGCAAAAATGTAAGGTCATTTGGTTAAATGACCTTATAGGAAATTAGAGACTACTAGTAAATTATAAAAGAGAATCCATGTCACTAAAAATCACCGTCGGTCTATGTAAAGGAAAGTATAAAAATCTAAGGTAGTCATAACCTCAGTTAGATGGACTAGATATTTTCTTCTCCCTGAGCTTCTGCCAGTTAGATGACATAAGGGATGTAGAAAAGAAGCAATTGATATACCTTGAAAATAACCAACCAGAATAACTACCTTTTTGAGTTTCCAGGAAGTCTCTAGACAATGAAAAAATTTCTGAACTTGGGAGAAAGGGAGTTTTAAAGAATAGAAATATTGCAAAAATATTTTTTCGATTTCAAATCTAAAATCACTGTAAGACAAAAAGCACTAAGTTTAGTAATTGTAGGCAAGCTGGTTTGTCTGTAAAATTGTCACATATGATATACTGAGAGGATATGACAAGGTTGAAGGAAGGAAAACTACCTTTTTTGAAATCTAAAAGGTTTTCCATTTCCTCCTCCATCATTAAATCACTACTGTCTCCTCCTTCAATCAGTGTCAAAGATAAGGACAGCAGAAAGACCCTGTCTCTGCTTAGTGCAGTCAGCAAAAGAATAAGCTGAGAGTCTTCCTTTGGAGTTTCTAGGACTAACTGTGACCTAATGAATTGTCCTGTCAAATTGTGACCACCTTCAAATCAAGTCATATTTTCAGATCCCAAACTAGTTCTGGAACTTAAGTGTAATTCTTTATTTAAGCTCTAAGGCTGATTTAAAAATCAGTATGTTGAACAAATTTTAGTTCCAGGAGGGTAACATTATCTGTGAAATCCATTAAGTTCTGTCCTCACCCTTGTTCTGGCTTACTTGGGGTCTTCCAGCTATGAAGTAAAATCGGGGGAAGGGGAGTTAGCTGGGTAGCTACTGTGTGAAGTACAGCTCACCCTCCCACACACACAAATACACATTCCCCTCCTCCCTCCCCGCCCCCCAGTTGTTAGAACTAAGCAGCAGTTAGCTAGTTCACCTGGGAGACAAGCCTGCCTTGAAAGATAGCTAAGGAGAACGAGTTGGTAAAAAGCAAGAAAATATTTCGTTTCCTAGGAACAGGAAGTTGTATTCCATAATGGGGAAAAAAAAAAAAGGTCATTCCCTTACTAAAGGCAATTTTTTCTATCTGCACAACAGGCCTCATGCAAGGTTAAAAAGACGCCCATGGAGCACACCCATCCAGCAGTTAGCCCATACCTGTAGCTTTACACCTCCCTCTCTTGACTATGTCTTCACTCTAAAAAACCAAGGAAAGAAAAATAAGTGGGCCACGCCTACATTTCTCATAATTCCAGGCATCTAAGTTCCTTCCAAAGTAAAGCCCCCTTTGTCACCATGGTTGAAGATTTTTAAAAAATTTTAAAGAGCCCCTCCCTCTCCCATTTTTAAAGTACACAATACCTTAAAGATAAATTGCATTTAACATCTCAAAGCTAATTTAAAATCACCAGCAACTTAAAAGATGGGAATTTAAAGTACTAAAAGGCTTAAAACTGGCTTGCCCAAAATGTCACAACTAACAGTAAGGCAACGACTAGGATTTAAGAGGTTGAATTTCAATACATCTATCATTTAAAAAATCTGCTTTTGGATGGGAAACTACAATAAAGCTAAAGGTTGTGTAATTCTTTTAGCAATTAAAGATCATGTTATTAATGCAGAGAGGCTGCACTATTTCCCCAAAGCAACCTCCCTGAATAGGAGCCAGGGATAACTCTTCAAAGGCAATAAAGTTCCTGCCTGTATAAATGCATCTCGCTGGCCCAGTAAATGCAGGGTGGTGGTGAACCACTAAAACCAAAAAAAACCAGGAGATGAGGAAGTTAATTGAAGGTAAAAGCAAACAGAGGAACCACAAAACCAATTTGTTTTATTTTTAAACATTATCAAACATCTTGCAACTAAAAATTGATTCTGTAAAGCTGCCTGTATTCCTACAAACCATCTACAACTCCTGCCAGCTGTACTGCTGTCTGGCCCTGGCTATACACAGATAACTGCTCAAAGTCACCAAGGACGAGATCTACACTGGAATAAGAAGAACCCTGAAGGGCAAATCCAGAACCAGAACTGTGAGACTCTACAATCTACCTACCCTACCAGAAGACAAAGATGTCTCTTGACTGGCATAAAATCATATACTAAATCTACAATACCTCATTCAATTCATATACTAAATCTACAATACCTCATTCGATGTACCATTATCATCACTGAAACTGGGGACTGCTCTAAGGGTTTACATGCTAAAATAATCTGCGTGACGGATTCTAACCCCAGAGCCCATAGTCCGTCTGTCTTGAGAAACGTGACCATCATCTAGGAGGTACAAAATTTTACTGAAACAGTGTCTTGAGAGGGCACTGGAGTAGTGGTTATCTTGGAGATTAGAAAGCAAGTTAAATTTCTACCTGTTTTATTCTGAAAGATGTAAAGGGCAATGAAAAGACCAGCGATGCATGGAACAGTTGAGAAGCACTGCTAGCTGACCAGACTCAGATTACATGCTAGCTGAGAAATCTCCAGGATACAGAGGGTAAAAGGGAAGCCTAGGGTTGTTAAGAAGGGCAGATGTACGAAAAGAGTGAGGGACCCCTATCTAGGTCCTAGAGAACACAGCAGCCCAAATGGGGCTAAGGAACACCTGTTTGCCCAGCCAAGAGTAAGAGAAAAATGGATTCACCCTACTCCTAAGTCACCCAGAGACTTTTTAAAGGTAAACTCAAATACACAAAAAAGGATCATTTTCCTTCACACAGGCCCTGGTCACTTGAAGGAGGACACTGGGAAGCCCAATACACAAGAAGGTATTTTCTTTAAAGCCTTTGTTTTCTCAGTTTTGCTTTTCCTACATTCTGTTGCCTAGTCTGTAAGAAAACAGAAATGCTTTGAGAAGAGGGGAAAGCTAAATGCAAACTAAAAGCTTTAAGTATGAGTTTTTTACATCTTTCAAAATACATTAAGCTCTGAGAGGAAGCCTGTATCTCCCTTGGAGATCCACAGAAGTCGGTTTCTATTAACATTACCTTTACCTTTCTCAATCGCCATGCAGAGGGGTATAAAGGTGGTTCTAAAGAGGGGTGAATAGAGGTAAGGGGGAAAAGCGCCAAAAAAGGTGGGGAGAAGGAAGCAAGAGAGGAGAGAAAGATGAACGGCAAGCTACCTCTGAGGGAAGCAAGCAGTATTACCTTCTTGTAACATGTTAAATGTTCAAAATATGGGAGACAAGCTGGTGTTGGTGGTATAGTGGTGAGCATAGCTGCCTTCCAAAATAAGGAAGACATCAGGCACGCACACACACAGAGGGAAGGCCATGTGAGGACACAGTGAAAAGATGGCCATCTGCAAGCTATCAAGAGAAGTCTCAGAAAAATCCAGACTTGGCGATACCTTGATCTTGAACTTCTAGACTCCAGAAGTATTAGAAAATAAACTTTTGTTGTTTAAACGTGTCCCCCCCCAAAAAAAAAATGTTCAAACTATGACTTCCTTTGAAGTTTTAAAATTGTACTTGGAAAGTCAATAGAACAGGGGACTCTAAAAAGCAAACTACCTATCTCACAATTTCCCCAAAGAAAGATAACCTGTAAGGAACTTACATTTGGTTTTGGAATTTATCTTAGAACTCATACCTGACCTTGACTTTTTTTAAGGATGTATGAACATCACCTCTCAGGACTGATACAAAAGCTCTCAGATCTCCTACACACCTTCCTTATTGTAGTAGGCAAGGTAATGGACATTTTTCATTCCTCAGTTTTCTGCTGGCCTATGGAGCCTGTATGTCAAAATACTGTCCTTCCCAGGAAGATGGCCACTGACTCACTCACCATCAGCAGCTCTTACACAGTATGCACTGAATCACAAACTCCAGATAGAGGGGCTGATAGCCGACACAGTAATGCTCAGTGACCTACGTAAAGCCTGAACCCACAGCTTTGGGCTCATTAGCAAAACTAACTCTTTAAACTTTTTTATTCAAGTAACACTAATAACAGTATATAAATTTCAGGTGTACATTATAATTCAGTATCTGTATATTCTATTGTGAACTTACCACCAAATGTCTGGTTTCTAACCCATTACCATATATTTGACTTCCTTTACCCATTCTGCCGTTCCCTTTCTCCTCTGGTAACCACTATTCTGTTAAGACTGACCAAGTTTTCTTATTAACAATAGTTAGGTAAGTGCCCTCAATACCTTGAAAAACTTTGTTGATATAAAGCAAGGAGCTAATGAAGAACTGAACAACTGTCCAAATCAGAGGTTTTTAAAACATTAAATGTTTTTCCTCTAGACATTAAAGTGAAGCAGATCAGGTTGAAGACAGAGGGAGGGCAAGGCAGGTCTCAGTTGTTTATTTCTCCTGGCCCTCAGGGTAACTAACCCTAACCCTAGGTCTCCTGGGAAATAAGAAAACAGGTCTAGAAAATTCAAAACAATAACCTACCGATTTTATATCCAGCTTTGAGATGAATAGATTTTGAACAGCAGATTTCTCTATCTTATAGAATCTAATAGATTACTACGAATCAAAGAATTTAAGATTCCATCAACGGTAATAAATATGCATTCTCAAATTAATGGAATACGGTTATTTAAAATTCATAAACCTTATCACCTGAAAGTGGGGAGAAATGTCCATTTACAAAGTGATAATAATTATAAGAACATTTCTGAGCATTTATTATATGCCATACGATGTCCTGTGTGCTTTATATTCAATCCTTATACCTATCCTATCCTTATTTACAGATGAGAAAAGACACAAAGAAACGAAGTAACTTTCAAAATCTCCTGCATCCAGGCATTGATGGGGTTGGAATATAAACCCAAGCGCTTCAACCCTGGGTCAAAGGCTGACTCAGGTTAAAACCTGTGTAAAGGAAGATCATGCACACGACCCCCACAAAAGGATGTTTAAATGCTTGAGGGGCATAAAGTTGAGTGTGACCATTTTTCTAAGACAAACCTTGTAAGTAGATAAATGTCCACAACTATCATGAGAAAGATGATTTAAGGTAGTGAAAACTTCCTGCTGTTACTCAGTGGAGGTGTGAGTCTGAGCAAGTAACATCTGTAAATGCCAGTTTCCTCACTTATAAAAGACTTAACTACATATCTCAAAAGGAACCAAATGGATGCCCAGAATTCAATCACACCATTGTACAAATTTCTAATCGGAAGAAGAGACAAGTAGAAATGATTTGGGGAAAATGTGTTCTTTTTCTAAAATGTCGTTACTTTTCAGATTGCTTGCAATGAATGCCCTGTCTTCCTTCTTTTCCTATTATATGGCTGGCTCAATAAGAAGGCTGGGCTTACTACTCTGAAAAACTGCATGTCCTCCCACTTCCTTACCCTGAAAAGCCAAGTAACCAGATAAAAAGATCAACTGGGAAGCTTTCCAGGCTAGCCTGGCTCATCCCGATGCAAAACTGCACCAGGGATTGGTGCTAAAATCCAGTACAGTTTTCCTGAAGTAGCCAGTCTATCTTCCTTGGGAACCTATACCAGAGAAATAACAGTTGCCACTAGATTCTAAGGATCCTGGGCACACACATCACAACTAAGAGGTTAGAATCTACCTCAAAGGCTAGTGAATTAAACAAAATTTGTAAATGCACTCATCAACGAATAGGTGGACCCAAGACTGACCATAGAGAAACTATGTAACCACTGTTTCGCTCATCTGTAAAATGGGGGTGATTAGGCAGATTCAGTAGATACACTGAAGGGCACAGTAAATTCCCTTCCAGTCCCATCGTTTCCAGAGCAACTCCTTCCACAGTACTAAGCTGCTCTATGTACAGTCCAGGTCCTGTATTGCACCAGGCTTAGTTCTGACTTGTCGTGGCTGGCAGGGATAAAATTTAACACTTTCTCTGTGGGATATACAAAAATCTTTTTTTCCTCTTGTGACATTTGCTCTGTGGCTACTACTTCCAAGATTTAGGCTTATGTCTGGGGTTTCTGACTCTTTACTGAGTCATCTACGTGTATCCTCTCTCTGACCCTAGAAGAATTTATAAACAGATCTCAATCTCATATCCTTCTCCAATGGCCAGTAAGTTCATCCCTTCTTTAGTGGCAACTCTTTTTTTCCACCTTTTAAAAAGAAACTGGTAAGAAACACATACATTAAATTTACCATCTTAACCATTTTTTAAGTGCACAGTTCAGTATGTTAACACTGCTGCGCAATGTGGCAGCAATTTTAAAACCTTTCCTTTT